TCTTTCTTTCTTTCTTTCTTTCTTTCTTTCTTTCTTTCTTTCTTTCTCTCCCCTCCCCTCTCTCCTCCTGCCCTTGCATTCCTCAACCATCCCTTTTTCCTCTCCTTCCTTCCTTCTTTTCTCTCCCCTTCCTACCTTCTTGTTTCTCCATTCCCTCCCTCCTTTTCCATTTCCTTCTTTCCTTCCTTCCTTCGTTCCTTCCTTCCTGTGTATCAGGACCTACATAATGTGGGTCAGGTCCGTGCTGTTGTGGTGGCCACGAAAAGGAGATGCTCCAGACTTTGGGAGGTTAAGGTCTCCCAATGTGCCTCTAGCTCGAGCAGCCTCTGGAGGTGCACCCCAACATCCCAAACAGTTGGAGACCCTACCTTGACCCTCCTCCTCTCCCCCAACCTCTCCCCCAGATATCGACGAGTGCCGGATCTCGCCAGACCTGTGCGGCCATGGTGCCTGTGTCAACACACCCGGCGGTTTTGAGTGCGAATGCTTTGAAGGCTATGAGAGCGGCTTTATGATGATGAAGAACTGCATGGGTAAGGAGCAGACCCAAGGGGGTGGCCAGGGCATAGATCCCTTTACTGACCGTTTGAAGTTTACAACGGCAGCAAAAAACAGCATTCATGACCATTTTTCACACCTGCGACTGTTACCCCATCCCCACGGCCACGTGATCAAAATTCAAACACTTGGCAACCGGCTCACATCAATGATGGGGTGACGTGATTCCCTACTGCGGCCTTCTGACCATGGGGAAAGCCAAGATTCACTTAATGACCGCATGTGACTAACTTAACAGTGGTGGTGATTCACTGAACAACTGTGGCAAGAACGGGTGTACAATGGAGCAAAATTCACTTAACAAGTGTCTCACTTGGCAATGGAAAATTTGGACTCAACTGTGGTTATAAGTTGAGGACTACCTGCACTGCCCTTTTTTGTTCTTTTTTTTCCTCTCTCTCTCTCTCTCTCTCTTTTTGGGGGGGGGGGCTTTCTCCATTTTCCAGGGTGCTTTAGCACTAATGTCTCTTGCTTCTTGACCTTTTCCGGATTTGATTTGAATCTCCTGGTCTCTCCTTTCCTTCTCCACATGGAGCTCTGATCGATATTTGGCCATGCTAATCATTATGTGGCCAGCATGGGAAATTAAAGATATTGTGCAAACTCTGTTGCGTCTCCCATCTTAGGTGCTGGAAAGTGGATTGGCCCACCTGCGGCATTCTTGTGCAGATGCCAGGTGTGCAATCCAGGCAAGACTCAGCACTGACGTTCGATGGCTGCCTGCAGCTTTGAGCTCCTTTTGTTTAATCTAATTGATTGATCATTAGAAATTCTGTTTATGTATAGTGCCACACAGCAAATGAAGAGTACAGTCACCATGTGCTTTACCGCTCAACTATTTTAACAGTAGCAGGAAACAGGAAACTCTGCTCAGAACAGATATAGCATATATAGAATATATACCATAGATCCAAACTTGTAAACACTACCATCTACTGGCAGAATACTACTGTGGTTGTTGCATAAAAATACATTCCAACATTGATTATGTGCCATCCAGTCATTTTCCACTTCAAAAGACTACACAGATGGATTATTTGTATAAATAACTCAAGGTGGAGAACATACGTAATTTTCCTTCCTCCTCCTATTTTCCCCACAACAACAATCCTGTGAGGTGGGTTGGGCTGAGAGAGAGCAACTGGCCCAAAGTCACCAAGCTGGTTTCCATGCCTAAGGCAAGATTAGAACTCATGGTCTCCTGGTTATTGGCCCAAAGTTACCCAGTTGATTTCTATGCCTAAGGCAGGACTAGAACTCACGATTTCCTCTTGATTGGTCCAAAGTTACCCAACTAGCTTCTATGCCTAAGGCAGGACTAGAACTTACCATCTCCTGGTGAGTGGCCCAAAGTCACCCAGCAGGCCTTCATGCTTAAAGCAGGACTAGAACTCACAATCTCCTGCTTCCGAGGCCGGCATCTTAACCCCTGCATCAAACTGGTCCTCTAGTTTAGTCCTTGACTTATGACTGTAATTGAGCTTGGAATTATGGTGGTAACTTATGGCAGTTGTTAAGCAGGTCATCACAAGACCATCTCCGATTTTATGACCTTAAGCCTAGGCTGCAGTCATTAAGAAACAACAACACAACTGTTTGTTAAGCAAATGCAATAGTCATTAAACGAACCCATTTTCTTCATGGTGGGGCTTTGGAAGTAATTGCCAGAAACTGGCAAAAAAGGCAGACAGTCACGATGGCAAGGCCAAGGGATGCTGCCAACAGCCATAAATGTGAGTGGGTCACCAAGGACTGAAAATATAAATAAGTGACCCTTGAGGCGGGGACAGGACGATCCGAACTGCAGGTCATAAGTAGCTCTGTGGAAGTCCGTTGTAACTCTGAACAGTTGCTAAGCAGTGGGTCATGTAGGAGATATAGCAATAGCACAGACTTATACACTGCTTTATAGTGCTTTTACGGCCCACTCTAAGCAGTTTACAGAGTCAGCCTCTTGCCCCCCAACAATTTGGGTCCTCATTTTACCCACCTCGGAAGGATGGAAGGCTGAGTCAACCTTGAGCCTGGTGGGATTCGATCTGCCAAATTGCAGTAGGAACAGCTTGCAGTACTGCACTCTAACCACTGCGCCACCGAGGCTCCTACATAACTTTTCCAGTGATGGCATTCAGCCGGTTCGCACCGGTTCAGGTGAACTGGTAGCAAGGATTTGGCATGGGCCATCGAACCGGTAGTAACTTTGGGCTGGCCACGCCGCTGATCCAGTCGCCTGGTCACCGCTCGCTCACTCACCCCGGCCGGCCCACCTAACGCTGACCCGCCCAGTCACTCCTGAAGGTATTTGATATGTTTCCCTCCCAATGATCAGCTGTTCCTAAGATCAGCTGTGTCGGGATGCCCCTCACTTACTTACTGCTTCACCCATGAGGCTTCCCTGAGGCCCAGGAAGGCAAACAATGGAGGGACCCCCAAAATGAAGTGTGTGGGGGGATGCTGCGTGCCCCTCCTATCCTCCATTTTCTGCCTGACTGAGCCCCAGAAGGCCCCCCAAAATGGGAGGGAGCGCAGCAAAAAGAAAGAAACCACGCCCACCCAGTCAAGTGACCACACACCCTAGCCATGCCCACAGAACCAATAGATTTTTGTTTTTAATGTGAAAAACTGAATAAAGTTTGTTAAAAAAAAAAAAAGAACCAATAGTAAAAAAAATTTGAATCCGACCACTGAACTCTTCATCTTGTTTCTTAACTCGGCTAGGCTTTTAAATCTTCCAGATATTTTTTTAACAAAGTTTTTTTTTTCCATACATATCAATGTGTGGACAATATAACACCTGGATGTTTTTCATTTTAATGCAATTAATATAATACTTAATATATTTATTGTTTCCAAAATTCTCGTTGTTTCATTTTCAGTATTTCAGTATCTTATTTGCATACCAATCCTTACATTCAAATGGCTTCCTTTAACATCCAATAGCATGTTAATAACCATGTGAGCATTTTTTTTACAATCTTATTTCATTCTAACTTTAATACACACCTTTATATTCCATTATAGTATTCTATTCATTTATGTAGTCAGTATTTCATTGTATTAGTTCTTTTATGCTAATCCTCATGTTATTCTAATATACTTAATATCATCCTCATTCAAATTCTAGCTTCCTTTCTTTTTTATGCATCATCTTATTTTTAAGGAAGTGATTCCATTATTTCCCCTCTCTGCAATTCCACCCCAATTCTAACTTTCAGTTATGCCACTACAATCCCCAAAAATATTCCCTAATAGTTTTTTCTAATATAACATTTCATTTATCAAATATATCCTTCCTTTTACCACAAATAAAACATCAGTAATCATATTGAATACATTTAATAAGTCCTTGTAGCTCTACTAGTTCCCTGTTTCTCCAACAATACGGCCTCCTCCAATAGGAAGTCCCAGCATGTTTTATAGGCATGAAATGAAATTAAGCCCCTCCCCCCAAATTAAATTATATTAAAACATGCGAAATGTGGGGGAATGGGGGGGGCTTGCTGTTAGGAAGTACTTTTGTTGCACACCTGGATATGGTGCTGCCTGCGTTGACCCCGATACGAAGTGCCCCACCAACGCCGAGGTCAACATCCAAGCCGTCGCTGCCCACCCGCCCAAAGATGCAAGAATTAAGTCACCCCCGAAAAGACGACCTAGCAATTTTTTCAGGGCTCAAAAAAAAATAAGACCCGGCCTTATTATATGAGAAACACGGTAATAATCCTATTCATATTAAATTCCAAACTTCCATTATTTAATTAATCAATATTTCAATACCTTATTTTTATACTAATCACCGTTTTTATCAATCAAATTCCATTTCATATATTCCATTGTTCCACCCCCCCCCCCTCTAATTTCCAACCCTATTCTGGATTTCATTATATCTTTATTGGAGAGAGAAGAAAAAGGAAAGGTAAATTGAGAAAGAATAAAGTTTTTAAATCTTCCAGATATCGATGAATGCGAGCGAGACCCCCTCCTGTGCCGAGGAGGGGTCTGCGTCAACACCGAGGGCAGCTTTGAGTGCCTTTGCCCGCCGGGGCATGAACTGACCACCGAGGGCAACGTCTGCGTAGGTGAGTTGTCCATTTGAGACGTTTTATTTTACAAATGGGGCAAATGGGGAAAAATTCAACCGAAATGGGGACCACGCCACTCTTTGGCAACCTTCAGGGGCGTCCCTGGAATCGTCTTTGCCGGGGTGGGGGGAGAGCCCAACAGCAGCGAAGGGATCTGGCCCTCCCCACTTGGGCTGGGAGCCACCCATATGTCACTGGCCAGGCAGGCTGGGACACCGAAGGCTGGACTGGAAGGACGCAGAGGCTGATCTGGATAGATGAACCTGTTCCAGTTCTTAGAAAGATTCATTGACATCAGTGCCCTGTTGTTTACCTAGTTTAATGTCCGGTCTAATCAGCAAAGTTCCTCTCTAGCAAAGTCCCGGCCAACAGTCTTTCAAGACAGTTCCCAATTACAAACCTTTCTCAAGCTTGGAGAGTTGCCAGGCCGATATCTTTCAGACGCCACAATACTTAGCAAGAATTCAGGAATGAACTCATTGTCTCCTGCAAAGCCCCACTTCCCCTTTCGCTCCTCTTTTATTCCCTGTGTCCTGACCCAAACCCTTTTTCAATAAGACAAACAATAACCAAAGGGAACAGAGACCTTTTAATGATTCTTACGAATCTCCGCTTAAAAGGCTGCTGCAAACTAATTAACTTGGATAAGCACGAGGCTTGCCAAAACTGTGCAAGGCTGCCAAGAATAACAGATAAGAAATATTTTACAATACAAGAGTCTTCAAATACCAACTTAAGATACTGCAATGTCCACGAGGCTGGAGTTGTCTTTGCTTCCTGCAAAGAACGTCCGATTCACAGCTGGCTTTTATGTTCTTGAAGGAGGGGCCATTACCTTGGAGCCTTACTCCCGAGTCGCCCATGCTGCTGCAGCTGCTCTTTCCTGCAAGCAACCCTGCGCACACGCACACTTGGCACAGGCTCCTCGGGAACCTCCTCATCACTGTTGCCAGCCCACACAATCTCTGAAGGCAGCAGTCTACTCCCCAATGGTCTTGAACCCTCACCTGAGTCCTCGCTCTCCTCCGTTGTCTGTACCTGCTGCCAGCTAACCACAACACCCTATGGGAGACGCCGTTCATCGTGCACCTGCGGCTTTATCCCTAAATCGGCTCTTGTTCCTGAGCTGTTCCCTTCTTCTGGCAGCTCTGTGCATGTGCACATCGGGAACAGGCTCCAGCTGTTCTTCTGCCTCACTGATGTCCAACTCCGAAGGCAGCTGGAAACTGCCAGACGGCCCAGGCCCCATCTCTGCCTCCGATGCAAAGCCCTCATCAGAGCCCTCCCCAGACCCCAGGGCTGGCCCATATTCCTCACCAACCTCCTCACTGACCGAGTCACAGCACAACCCTGACACCCTTGTTTTCGCAGATATCAACGAGTGCTCCCTGAGTGACAGCCTGTGCCTAAAAGGGCGCTGTGTGAACGTCATTGGCACCTACCAGTGTGCGTGTGACTCCGGATACCAAGCCACCCTAGACCGGCAGGGCTGTGTCGGTGAGTTTTCCTACTTCCTTCTTCCTTTTTTGCAAGATCCAAGGACACACAATGTGTGAGCTGGGAGGGGAAATCTTCCCTTGCTTTCCAAAATCCAGAGCGGAGGACGCGTTGATGGGCTCCAAACAGCATTACACAATAGGATGGAAGAACCCCAGTCTTTCAAGAGGGGCAGGAAAGGATGGCGCAGGGAAATCACTTGGAGAATAGCCAACCAGGACAGGGCAGATTCGGGATCCTAAAATTTTACCCGGGTTTTGGGGAGGAAGAGGAAAAACTCGGGGGTATTTCCTGAAGGTCGGCATGGCCGGCTGGATCTGATCAGAGACGCTTCAGGATTTCTCCTGTGGTTCCCTAGAGCAGGGGTCTCCAACCTTTTGGATTTCAGGGAGCACCAAACTCATAATTTTAAATCCCAAAGACCAGAAACCCTGGGAAAATCCCCCCAAAAAAGTCTGCAGGAAAATTCCCCACCCCGCTTTCCTACTGATCAATCGTTCTTTATTTGAGATCACAGAATACTGTCTCCAGCTCTGTTCTCAGGGGGGGAGAGAGAGAGGAGAGACTTTTGGCTTCGTGCAAGGAAAGCAGCAGCAGCAGCAGAAGTCTTTCTTTCTCTCCCCCAAACTCCGCCAGAAAGGAGTCTTCGTGAAACTTGTTGCACCAGCGCAGCCTCTTGGAGCAGGAGGCCTTGCAGGGTCCCAAAGTCTCATTTCTGGCGGAGTTTGGGGGAGAGAAAGAAAGACTTTTTCTGCTTTCCTTGCATACAGCCAAAAGCAGAAGAAGGAAGAAGCGGAAAGAAGCAGTCCAGTGGCCAGGCCAGACGAGTGGGGCAAGTTCTCCCCCTCCGCCCTTCCCCCCCCTCCCCTCACTACCTCGTGTTGTTAGCAATGCAAGCGACGCAAGCCTTGTGTTCCTGCGCAGCCTGGATTAATTGCTTTGTGGGGGGGTTGACATTTCTCTGTGGAGCACCAACATTTTCTCACAGGCCACCAGTAGTCCCTGGCCCACTGGTTGGCGACCACTGCCCTAGAGGTAGACGTTGCTTTAGAACCATTTATTCAGCAACCCAAGGTCTTCCCTACACCATGAGCCACCTCACGCTCCACATAATGACTGTAGCGGGGAGAGACAGTGTTGCATGGGGGCCTTGTTTAATGACAGCAACCATTTAATGACTGTAGTTCTGGGCTCATTTGTGCTTGTAAGTCGAGAAGTACCTGTATTTTGTTGGCGGTAGGAAGGCTACTGCTTCTATGAGGCCACGCCTCCCTCTGTGAGGCCACTCCTCCCTCCGTGACACCACGCCTCCCTCCGTGAGGCCACTCCTCCCTCCATGAGGCCACTCCTCCTCCCAGATTGCCTGGAGGCCTCCCCATATTCTATTGTTTCTTTTCTTTTATTTTGTTATTTTATTTATTCGCCACACAGCCAAACGGATCTTCAGACTGGATTTGGCATTTTTGTCTGCCTATCTCTTGAGTCCTTTACAAGGACCTTGAATAGACAGATGGGGGTGTTTGGATGGGGCTGTTATAAATGTAAGAGTGTAAGCTGTTCCAAAATATTTTGTTTTGTTTTGTTTTACTTTATTTTATTACTATATCATATCATATCATCACATCATATTTTATTTTATTTTTATTATTATATTTTATTTTTTATTATATATCATATATCATATCATATTTTTATTTCATTTCATTTTATTATTTATTTTATTATATCATATCATTTCTTTTATTTATTATATTATATCTTATTATTTTATTTTTATTGTCATATATTTTTATTTTATTATTTATTTTTATGATATTTTATTTTATTATCATATATCTTCATATCATATTTTTATTTTATTTTATTATTTGTTTCTTTATTATTATATCATTTTATTTCATGTATTTTATTTATTATCCCTTTTATAAATAACCTGAATTATCATGGCACCCGATTGTTTCACCCCGCAGATATCGACGAGTGCACCATCCTGAATGGCGGCTGCGACACGCACTGTGCCAATGCTGAGGGAAGCTATGAGTGCAGTTGTGGGGAAGGCTATGCACTGATGCCAGATAAGCGGTCGTGTGTGGGTGAGCAGCTGGCCAGGGATACTGCAAAATCCCATTCCCACCCCATCCCATCCCACTAACCTGCTTTCCAGCTCCGTTCTCCTGTCCAAGGCAACCAAAGAAGACCCAGCCAATCAGCTGGGACTCGATGGGAGGCAGAGAAGAGATGGGGTTGGTGGGGCCAGTCAGAGGTGGCATTTGCCGGTTCTCCAAACTACTCAAAATTTCTTCTGCCGGTGGACATAACTCCAAGTGCAGAATAGGTATAGACAAGATAAGAAATAATGCAGAATTGATACAAAACTACATAAATTAGATAGAATTTTATTAAGCCTAGACAAAAAAAACATAGCAAAATTTTATAATTGTCTATTGGAGATAGAATTAGAGGAAGAAATAGCCAAGGGTAATATGATAGCTTGGAGTCGAAACATAGACCGTAATATTACTTTAATAGAATGGGAGAATCTCTGGAATAGAAATAATAAAGTTACAATATCGGCAGCATACAAGGAAAATGCCTATAAAATGTTCTACATTTTCTGCCTTCTGCACAGAGGTGGATTTGAAGCTGTACAGATGCAGATAGATAACTCAACAAGACGTCCATAACAAATTACATTTATTGGTTCATCAGGTATCCTCATAACTCACGTTTGTGATGAAGTTCTTCTATAATGACCAATCCTTTGTATATATCTGCCTTGTAGTAAAAGATGGTTATCTCCTAACCCATCTCGTAGCGATAGAAAGAAGCTGCCATGAGTTAGAGAGTTCAGGCAAAAGTGAGGAAAACTGCCCCAACCCATCAAGGGTCAATTCAGTGACCAATCAGGATTACAGATGTGGGCACGTGACATGGACTACATTTCCCAGGATACCTTTAACTACATTTACCATGATACATTCCCTTAAGGAGACAGCTCATAATTCCTAAGTAACTATCCAATTCCCATAGACCAGCTGGGACAGCACACTACAGATAGCACTTCCCCACTTCAAGATTGGCGAGGATGTATCCCAACATGAAAGTGGAAAAACTGGAAGTGCAAAAAAAAAAGGAAGGAACATACAACCACATGTGGTGGTCCTGCAAAGAATCCCAAAAATATTGGCTGAGAATTAAAAAATGGTTGGAAGAAATTAGAAAGGAACAAATTGAATTAAAACCAGAATTATTCTTATTAGGGATATTTAGGAAGAAACGTGGAAAAAAAAGTTAAATACATAATATTACATATATTGACAGCGGCCAGACTGGCTTTTGCTCAATGTTGGAAACAAGCCTTCACTCCACCAGAACAATTGATAATTAAAAGATAATGAGTTGTGCAGAAATGGATAAATTAACCCTAGCCCTAAAAGACAAAGATTCATCAGAATATTACAAGATTTGGGACTGTTGGTATAAATGGATTGAGCGAGGACAGACTATATAATAAATGGAACAGGTAGATTAGTAGTAGCTGTAGTAAATATATGTTCGCATTAGATATCAATTATAAATATTGCACAAAACAATGTTACAAACAGGAAATCACAAACTGTCGATGTTGAAAAGTTTTTCATTTTTTCTTTGTGCTGTTCGTGTTGTTTTAATTGTAAAATTAATGAAGTTTATTCTTTTCTGCTACCGGTTCTCCAGAACTGGTCAGAACCTGCTGAATACCACCTCTGCTTCCCTCCTCCCTCCCAGATATCGATGAATGTGAGGACACGCCAGATATCTGCGATGGGGGCCAGTGTACCAACATCCCTGGGGAGTACCGCTGCCTCTGCTTCGATGGCTTCATGGCGTCCCTGGACATGAAAACCTGCATTGGTGAGATCATCTTGGAGGCCTCTGTTAGGAATAACAAGATTACCTAACGTAGTTTGGGTAAAATAATATATATAAACTATGATAGTAAGTTTAAGTGTGTGTCACTTTAAACTGCAAAGCATGTAATTTTGGGTGCGGTTGTGAAACCGAAAGTGCAGATAACCATGTTATCTGCACTTCTTGGAGTGAGACAGGGGATGCCTGCAACCAGCTCCCTTCTCTTCCCCCAGATGTGAATGAATGCGACCTGAACCCCAACATCTGTCTGCACGGGGAATGCGAGAACACCAAGGGATCCTTCATCTGCCATTGCCAGCTGGGCTACTTCGTCAAGAAGGGGACGACGGGCTGCACAGGTTGGTAGGCCACTCACCATAGGAGACGATCAGGCACCACCAGCAGGATGGCGGCGTCTAGCAAGTCATCAGCCTAGAATCGTTACGTTGCCATAAATGTCAACTCAAAAATATTCCTCTGGTCTTTTAGCGTTCTCAGCAGAATGGGAGTGTGGAAAGTAATGCATACCTTATATGCTTTCATAGATAATACTAGGCGGCCGAAGCTTCTGGTGCACAAGATTATTACTAGGGAGCTGTCAGCTGCTGCTCCATTCAAAATCCAAGAAAGAAATACTTAAGACTCCATTAATTAGAGAAAAAAAATATCTTTTACTGGAAGTCAAGTGGTAGCAACAAAAGAATCCTGAATCCGAGAAAATGGGCGCGTAAATCACATATACAAAGTGATGGCAACGTTCCCACCCCCAATAGTTCAATTGGCTCATGCAGTTAAAAGTTGTGTATAGCGTCATGTGGGCATCTCCAGGTGGTGATGAGGCCTCTGTCCCTTGACCTTGACCTATTTTGATAAACAGTTGCGGCTGCGCATAGCAAAGGATAGACGCCTAAGCTAGAAACTTCCCCACCCCACCCCAAACTTACACAGTTCTGTTTTGTAACACCTCCAGCTCGCTTCCCATAACCATGTCCCCCCCCCTCCTCCCCCCGTTACTTATGACAGCTGAAGGATGCAAAGCAAAGGGAGAAAATCTTGAAGGCTGACAGGAGCCTGATGGTTGACTCTTGACTATGGATGTGTCCCATTGGAGAATATACATCCTGGGGGTGTCAAGGTTGAGATGAATGAGGTGTCTTAGAGTTGGCTGCACCCAGGTAACGCCAACATGGTCACTCCTAATAAATGATTTTTTTTTTTTAATTCTGAGAGATGCGGCTAGAGACTCGTGATTTGAATGGGAGGGGGGGATTGTCAGAGCCTGGACAATAAACAGTCCAACTCCAAAGCCTCTTGAATTGGTGCCAATTTAGTATCGAAGCTTCATTGACTCAATCAACTATCTCCAAACTTGTCAACTTTGAATGTTGTGGACTTCCAGACTCTCAACTTTAAGATTTATGTCCCAAAGTTGTTTTTTTCAAGAGGCAACTGGACTTTCTGGTTTTTTTTTTTTTTCTTTTGAAGACATTTCACTTCTCCTCCAAGAAGCTTCTTCAGTTCTGACTGGATGATGAGGAATGGAAGGATTTGGATTCCTTGCAGACAGCTGGTCATTTGCAATCTTTCAGGGAATCATTGTGACCACCTGGAGGTTTGTCTGTGTCCTCAGGATTACCTGAGTGGCGCAAACAGGTGTGGAGCCTTCTTGGAACTGTTGAAAGGACTGTGTTGTAGACTGGAGATAGATGATGTCCTCATCTATCACCACTCAGGTGACCCTGAGGACACAGATAAACCTCCAAGTGTCCTCAAAGACTCAAAAGAATGCAAATGTCTAGCTGTCTGGAAGGGGTATAAATCTTTCCATCCCCCACCATCCAGTCAGAGCTGAAGAAGTCTTAAAGAGTTTGCAGCGACCCAACCAGCACACAAGTAAATAATTCAGCAGGATTCATTTATAGAAGAAACTTGCTTATATACAATAATATAAATCATGATGCATGTATACAATACCCATGCAGCTCTTGCAACATGGTAGCAAGTACAAGGTCCAGAAGCCAGAACCACCAGAACTCAGAATTCACAGAAGCTTTCCAGCTCCGTTCTCCTGTGCAGGGCAACCAAAGAAGACCCAGCCAATCAGCTGGGACTCGATGGGAGGCAGAGAAGAGATGGGGTTGGCGGGGCCAGTCAGAGGTGGGATTTGCTGGTTCTCCGAACTATTCAAAATTTCCGCTACCAGTTCTCCAGAAATTGTCTGAACCTCTGCTAATTGTGCCAGCTCTCTCTCTCTCTCTCTCTCTCTCTTTATCTGTGATGCTCTATAATGGGAGGAATAAAAGCCAGAGAAATTAAGGGAAAAATGAAGGAATTTGCTGGTGTGAGAAATTAAAAGATGAAAACTGTGAAGCAGAGCTGGCTCTCAATTCGCCAACAGGGCCTCCAGCCAAAAGCCCACCGGGGCAATGTTAAAAACTGAAATGCAAAGTTTTCCTGCCCAATATCATGTCCCTGTTAGAATCTGATTTCGAGGGAGAGGTGAAACAGCTGAAAGGGCGTGGGAGTGTGGCTCTGGTGGCTGTAGAGGAAACTGGGGAAGGGCACAGTCCAGCTGGGCATTCAGAGGAAGACCCAGGCCCATCCCCTCTTCATCCTAGGGCACATAGGGAGGAATGGATAAGGGAACAACATGGCTTACCGGGGAGAAAATGGCCCTGATTCCCTTCATTAGCTGCAGCTGGGAAAACAGGATAAAGAGGGTGTTTGCGCACAGCTCCTTGCTGGAAGCAAAGTGTGCATTATCTTTGTTTGTCACGTCTTATCTGGGTTCTGGCGTCTTCCCAACTGTGTGTGTTTCATTGTCTTTTGAAGTCTGCAATTCCTTTTCCCGCCCTGTCTCATTAATTGCTGCAGCGTGGTTTGCGTTGGTTTTTATTTACAATTTATATGTTCTTTGGGTTCGGACGGAATTTCTTCCCTTTAAAAACTGTTCTTAGGAGGGTTTTTTTTTTTTCTCCAGCGGATGATCATTGGACATTGGGGGCCAAGTTGGAGGTATTCAAGGGACTTTACCTATTATTGTGACTTTGTTGCTTTTGTGCCATGCCCCTTTGGGTCATCACACCCATCAAGAACGCGAGCTCACTTTTTCCTTCCACCCCGCAGACATCGACGAGTGTGAAATTGGGGCTCACAATTGCGACATGTACGCTTCATGCATCAATATCCCGGGAAGCTTCCGGTGTAAATGCCGGCTGGGCTGGCTCGGCGACGGGCTGAAATGCAACGGTGAGTGACCAAGGCCAGGGGAAAGGCAGCTGGACATTTTTCTTGGCTCGAGAGGGGGGGGGGGAGGATTTGCAATCAGTCTTGTGGCCACATCCGGGGTGGGGATGGGGGGAGAATTTTGGAAGCCCCAGGTCGGTTTCCCAGTGCAGGATAGGGGCATCTCTGAGCACGCAGAGTTGGTCCTTGACTTCTGTTAAAAAGATGTGGTGACTCTAGAAAGAGTGCAGAGAAGAGCAACAAAGAGGATTAAGGGACTGGAGTCTAAAAACGGTGGCTGTAATCGGGGGTGTCTAGTCTAGTGAAAAGAAGGACCAGAGGAGACAGGATAGCGGCGTTCCCGATATCGCAGGGGCTGCCCCAAAGAAGGGGGGGGAGGGTCAAGCTCTTCTCCAAAGCCCCTGAAGGCAGGACAAGAAGCAACGGGTGGAAATCGATCGAGGAAAAAAGCAACCTGGAATGAAGGAGGGATTTCCTGAAAGGGAAAACCATGAATCAGTGGAATGATTTGCCTCCAGAAGTTGTAGGTGCTCCAAGACTGGCAATTTTTAAGAAAAGTTTAGACAACCGTTTGTCTGAAACGGTATAAGGTCTCCTTACCTGAGCAAGTGGGTTGGACTAGAAGACCTCCAAGGTCCCTTCCAACTCTTGTTATTTTGTTATTCCGCCCGTCTCCAGTTCTATTCTGTTCTGTTCTATTCTTCATTCTTCTGTTCTATACTATTCTATACTATTTCTATTCTAATTCTATTCCATTCAATTCCCTTCCCTTTCCCTCCTCCTCTCTTCCCTTCCTTCCGCATTTTCTATTCTATTCTATTTTCTATTCTGCTCTATTCTATTCTATTCTATTTTCTATTCTATTCTGTTTTCTATTCTGCTCTATTCTATTCTATTCTATTCTATTTTCTATTCTATTGTATTTTCTATTCTGCTCTATTCTATTCTATTCCTATTCTATTCTATTGTGTTGTATTTTCTATTCTATTCTATTTTCTATTCTATTCTATTTTCTATTCTGCTCTATTCTATTCTATACTATTCCTATTCTATTTTCCATTCTATTCTATTCTATTCTATTTTCTATTCTGTTCTGTTCTATTTTCTATTCTGTTCTATTCTATTCTATACAATTCCTATTCTATTCTATATTCTATTCTATTCTATTCTATACAATTCCTATTCTATTCTATTCTATTCTATTCCACTCTATATTCTATTCTATTCTATTCTATTCTATTCTATTCTATTCTATTCTATTCTATTCTATTCTATTCTATTCCACTCTATATTCTATTCTATTCCACTCTATTCTATTCTATTCTATTCTATTCTATTCTAAAGCCAGCCGGGAAGGACACAAATTGTAGTCACATAATGTCTCATTTAACGACCACAGTGATTCACTTAATGACCCTGGGGGGAAGGGTTCTAAAACCATGGGTGAAGTCATGTGATGCCCCACAGAAAGAAGACACCACTTAAGAATGAATGCGTCGATCTTTACCAGGGGTCATAAGTTGAGGACTCCCTGTATCCTGCGGGAGGGTCCAAGGCCCAGAAGGCGTGTCTGGGGCTGTGCAGCTGAGAATTTCCCCTTCAGCTCCTTCCTGTTTTCCTCCTTTCCAGATCTAGACGAATGTGCCACCGAGGCTCACAGCTGCAACCTGAACGCCAACTGCCTTAACACGCCGGGCTCGTTTCGCTGCGCGTGTCAGGAGGGCTTCAGCGGCGACGGCTACTCCTGTTCTGGTGAGGGAGAAATGTTTAGGTCTGAGGGGTTGTGGGAGCTTTCCTGGCTCTGAGCCAGCCTGCTGCACCCACCTTTTCGTCTCCAGAAGGCGTTCTGACCCACGCCCTTTTCCAACAAATCAAACACAAATCAAAAAGGAACAGAAACCTTTTGCAAAATAATTAGCTGTGATAAACACAAGCCTTGTCAAACTGTGAGAGACTTGCCAAAAGATAACAGACAAGAAATAATTTGCAAAAAAAGAATCTTCAAATACAAACTCAGGATACTGGAATGTCCACGAGGCTGGAGTTTTCAAAATGTCTTTGCTTCCTGCAAAGTACGTTTGTTTCACAGCTGGCTCTTATCTTCTTGAAGGAGGGGCCAGTACTTTGCAGCCTTACTCCTGAGTCTCCCGTGCTGTTGTAACTGCTCTTTTCTCCGAGCAACCCTGCGCGCATACACGCTTCTGGCACAGGCTCCTCGGGAACCTCCTCATAGCTGCTGCCAGCCCCCACAATCTCCAAAGCTAGGAGTCCACTCCCTAATGGTCCTGGCTCCTCATCTGAGTCCTCGCTCTCCTCAGCCATCCGCACCTGCTGCCGGCTCACCACAACGGAAGGCCTATTTCTCCCTCTCCCCAAATCCTCCTCAGCCGATGTCACCAACTGGTAGTCCGTGAGAAAAATGTTTGGCGGTCCCTCAGGAAAATTATTTGCATTTGTTTATGTTGCACTCAATCGGGGGGGCAGGCCCTGGGCCAGATACGTGCTGTGAACATTTGTGTGGCTGCAGAGAGTCTCCCCCATCAGGGTCTTTTTGTGTGGGTTGGAGGGGGGCAGAAATTCCTACTTGGGGTCTACTTCATCCTCTTCGCTTTGGGTGAAGGCTGGACGGAGGCGAAGAGCCAGGGGACCTCGTTCCAGTGAGACTGCAGCATGGGCCGGAAATGGCTGAGCATCTCAGCCCACTGAGCATCCAGGCGCTGCTGGGACCTGGCCTTGCTCTCCCGCAGGTCTTCCCTCGGCTTGGAAAGCCCATGTTCCTAGTCCTCGGTGTGGTGCTTCTGCTGAGCCTCCTTCTCGGCCCAATGTGAACTGAGCCAACTCTTTCTCCTGGTGGCTGCTTAGCTCCAACCACTGCTTCCTGTTGGGGCCCTAAGGAGCCCGGGTGGGCAGGCGAGGAGTGGCTGGGAGGGGAGGGATGAGTAGAAGGCCGGCGAGGTGTCCCTCGATGTGAGTGACATCTAGTTGGTATGCCCACCCAGACATATGACACCCCCCCAGCCACGCCCACCTAGCCAGTCATTAGGCAGATCATATTCGTGGTCCGCGGGATTTAAAATTATGAATTTAGTGGTCCCTGAAGCCCCGAAAGGTTGGTGGCCCCTGCTCCTAAGCACTAAAAATGGTGGCTAATACAATTCGGTTATTCAACTTACACTAAAAAGTTTTTTTGGGGGGGGTGAGCCGTAAGGGTCTTGGAACACTAAAGGGGGAAGCGGGTTGCATTTTCATCCATCCGTAAGCTTAGTGAGCTTGGAAATGGCCGTGCCTCCATGGCAGCCATTTTGTGAGGGTGCCCCACGACGTGCCCTCAGCGTCCCAAAGGAATCTGCCTGACTGAGAAGATTGCAACCTTCTTATTGAATCACCCCAGCTAACAGGCATTTTCGTAGTGATCCACCAAGGATCTTGGCAGGGTATTATGGGTGTGGTTCAGTGGTGGTGTCAACTCATAAAATATTTCTATGGTCTTTTTAGAGTTGCCAACCCGAAAGGGAGGGGAGGAGCAGTGCAGCCGCTTGCAAACCAAAACTGCATTCCATAAATGTTTTCAAAGATAGTAACTAGATGACTGAAGTTTCTGCCGCACAAAATTCTAACTGGAGAGCCTGATTGATGACTCTGGGCTATGGATGTGTCCCATTGGAGGATATGAATTATGATACACCCAGAGGGGTGGGGGGAAAACCAGGGTCAAGGGTGGGCAGTGAATTATGTATCTCAGAGTCGGCTACACCCAGGCAGTGCCGGCACATTAACTCCCAATAAATCCTTTTTGAGTTTTTGAAGTTTGGCTCGAGACTCATGATTTAAATGGGGGTCACTGCCAGAGCCCTGTGGGATGCTGCCGGTTCACACTGGTTCTAGTGATTCGGTAGTGCCGACCAGCAGTTGGCCTTGCGCACCTGGCCCCGCCCTTTCCCGTCCTATATTTCCTTTGATTGTAGCTCAGCTGATAGGCGCGGCAGAGCGGATTGCCGTGCCTCAGCTGTTTTACTCACCAGCGCTGATGGTAAAGTTAGTGTCGGGCTCTGAGTTCGATACAGAGCCCGTCAGCTCCGAACACACCTTGCAGCAAGTTGGCAGGCAGTGGAGAATATCACCTTAGCTCTGCTGACGCCAGATCTGTATGGTTGCTTGTGTGCTAGCCGAAGGTTGAAGGTTGGCTTTTTTCATGTATTGAGGTGGTGCATATCGTTAGAGGGGGTTGGGGCACATATACGTGGTAATTAAGCATTGCATTAAGACATGGTGAAGGTGGCACCAGGTGGGGATCAGTTAGTGAGGGTTGGAATAGGTTAGGGATGTAGACGTGTTATAGGGCCATGATGGCGAACCTATGGCACATGTGCCACAGGTGGCACGCAGAGCCATTTGTGCCAACACGTGATCCGTAGGCAAACTTACCTCACTGCGCATACAGCTGATTTTCGGCCTCCCGGAGGCTTGAGGAAAGCCTTTGCAGGCCGAAAAATAGGCCCGTTTTATCACTTCCGGGAAATACCCGAAGTGATGAAACAGGCCACATTTTTCGGCCTGCAAAGCCTGCAGAAGCTTTCGTGCAGGGGGCATGGGGGGGTGGCCCCCACACACAGTGTCTTCTGGGTGCTGGCATGCGAGTGCTCGCGCACAAGCGCACACACAATTTTTGGCACAGGAGCCCCCAAAGATTAGCCAACACTGTTATAGGGTTAGTAGCATTTAGGGATAATGGGTTAGGTGTGGCCAGAATTAGAACTGCGTATAGGCCTGGGTGCGGTGGGGTGTGTCTCACGATAATGGCAGTAAAAGGACAAAGAGCAAGAAGTTTTAGGTATTTATGTTTTGTGTTTTGTACGTTTACGTTTGAATTAATAAAATTTTAAAAGAATGTCAGAAGAATGTTGGAAGAGAACAATGAAATTGTAAATAAGACAGATGGATATAAAAAATGTATACAATCTAAAGTAAAAGAGACATAATTTGAATAAATAGAAGGAAAGGGAGCAATAAAGAGAAGTTGGGATAAGATATGAAGTTGAACAGATAAGGTAAATATATATATTAAATTGTGTTCGTATGGAAATGTGATAATTTGGAATTATTCTGTCTTTAAATAAGATGTCTTATTGGTTTTTTTCAGAAAAAGATCTCTTATGTTATTATATCCTATGCTTTGTTTGTCTGCATATTGTTTTGTAAAATTAATAAAATTTGTTGTTGTTTTTTTAAAAAAAAGGACAGGGAGCAAACTCAAACCCAAGGCTAACCTTGCCCGGCATTTAGCCATTCTTGCCTGATTAGAGTATTTCTTGTTTGCTGATATATTGAATAAACCATCATTATCCTAAACTGGAGTTCGGATTCGGTTAAAGACAACTCTTCAATACTCAAGGACTGGCTGAGAATAAGTTTTCATGCTTAAAATTGCCCGTTTTAGAATGCTCCATGCGTTCCCCCCTCAGAACCGGTTGTGAAATATTTTGAATTCTACCACTGGTGTGGTTGTTGGCCGAGAGGAAGGCCTGACCATGTCATGTTTTCCCCTCCAGATGTGGACGAATGTGCCGACAACGTCAACCTCTGTGAGAACGGGCAGTGCCTGAATGCCCCCGGGGGCTACCGGTGTGAGTGCGAAATGGGATTCAACCCCACGGAAGACAGTAAGGCTTGCCAAGGTGAGCTCATTTGGGAACTGGAGGGTTGAAGGAATCGGGTATTCATGAAAAGAAAGGTGATGTCAGACCTGGACCCAACTTGGTCCTTTCGGAAAGAAACCCTCTCAACTCCGTTTGTAGCGAAAACATTATTTTCACTAAAAGCTACCCGGTTACACTAAAGCAAAGCCAGAACTAAGGATGTGCACGCGAAGCTCCCTAGTTAAATTTCTATGGAGATTCTCCGTCATTCACGTCGTGGTTGTCCCAAATTTGCTTTTTTTCCCCCTCAGGAGACAACTGGACATTTTGTTTTTTTTCCTTGAAGAGGTTTCGCTTCTCACCCAAGAAGTTTCTCCGGTTCTAGAGGACAGTCAGAGCTGAAGAAGCTTCTTAGATGAGAAGCAAAAAGTCTTCAAAGAAAAACAAGAAAGTCCATTGCCTCTTGGAAAAAGCATCTTTGGGATTCCCTAGTTAATGTTCCTTTTTCCATTCCACTCCTCCTGTTATCTCCCCGGGGTCCAGACATATTCAGAGAAGATGTTTGGGTAACTGTCCCTGCAAAGGTTGGATAGATGGAGAGGTGTTACAATCCATTCCCAGGTCAGTGGACGTGGGATGTCCCAGGATGGTATGAAGATCGCTTTTGGTTTCCCCTCAAGGATGACAGGCTAGGGGTGACATGAGAGCAGCCTTCCAATATCTCAGGGGCTGCCCCAAAAAAGAGGGAGTCAAGCTACTCTCCAAAGCACCTGAAGGCAGGACAAGAAGCAAACTAATCACGGAGAGAAACAACTTAGAACTAAGGAGAAATTTCCTGACAGTTAGAACAATTAATCAGTGGAACAACTTGCCTCCAGAAGTTGTGGGTGCCCCAACACTGAAAGTTTTAAAGAAGATATTGGATAACCATTTGTTTGAAGAGGTGTAGGGTTTCCTACCTAAGCAGGGGGTTGGACTAGAAGACCTCCAAGGTCCCTTCCAACTCCAGCTGCCTGCAATTTGGCAGTTCAGATCTCACCAGGTTCCAAGTTGACATCAGCCTTCCATCCTTCTGAGGTGGGTAAAACGAGGACCCAGGTTGTCGGGGGGGACCAAGAGGCTGACTCTGTAGACCACATAGAGAGGGCTGTGAAGCACTGTGAAGCAGTATATAAGTCTTAAGTGCTGTTGCTAACTCTGCCCGCTGCCGGGAGTTCGATCCTGACCAGCTCGAGGTTGACTTAGTCTTCCATCCTTTGGAGGTCAGTCAAATGAGGACCCAGATTGTTGGAAGCAACATGCTGACTCTGTAAACCGCTTAGAGAGGGGCTGTAAAGCACTGTAAAGTGGCATATAAGTGCTAAGTGGGAAGGAAGAATAGAATAGAATAGAATAGAATAGGATAGGATAGAATAGAATAGAATAGAATAGAATAGAATAGAATAGAATATGGAGTGGAGTGGAGTGGAGTGGAGTGGAGTGGAGTGGAGTGGAGTGGAGTGGAATGGAATAGAATAGAATAGAATAGAATAGAATTCTTTCTTGGCCGAGTGTGATTGGATACACAAGGAATTTGTCTTGGTGCAAATGCTGTCAGTGTACAAAAAAGAAAAAAATACATTCATCAAGAATCATAAAGTACAACACTTAATAATAGTCATAGGGTACAATAAGCAATCAAGGAAAGGAAGGAAGGAGAGATGGGAAGGCAGGCAGGCAGGCAGGAGGGAGGGAGGGAGGGTGGGAGGGAAGGAAGGAAGGAAAGACGGGAGGGAGGGAGGGAGGGAGGGAGGGAGGAAGGAAGGAAGGAAGGAAGGAAGGAAGGAAGGAAGGAAGTGGTGCGGTGGTCAGAATGCAGAATTGCAGACTAATTCTGCTCACTACCAACAGTTCAATCCTGACCAGCTCAAGGTTGACTCAGCCTCCCATCCTTTTGAGGTCAGTCAAATGAGGACGCAGATTGTTGGAGGCAACATGCTGACTCTGTAAACTGCTTAAAGAGGGCTAGGAAGCACTGGGAAGCGGTCTATAAGTCTAATAAATAGCCATATTTTCTTAGAAGCTTCGAGGCTACCAGCGCTAGTGCTATTCTGTTAAACTTCTCAAAAGTTTGAGCCAGAGCGTGGATGGGACTGGGAATCGGACCCGGGTCCAATAAAGCACCATTTGAACCCACAATGAATCAGGAACGGACAAGACGCTTGAATGCAACAAATGCTCATCTTGTTATGGGGATCCTTTGGCAGCTTTTTGAAGCAAGAATTCTGAGGTGAAAGCCACCAAAATCCGCTGTCTTTCCTTTCAGACATTGACGAATGCACCTTCCAGAATATCTGCGTCTTCGGCACCTGCCAGAATCTTCCTGGGATGTTCCGTTGTGCCTGTGACGATGGGTATGAGCTAGACAGGAGCGGTGGGAACTGCACAGGTGAGCAGGAAGGACCCATCCTCTCTACAGGTAGTCCTACCGCCATTTCTTTTGCCAACTTTCTGAAGTTGGAACGCCACCGAAAAACGTGAATCGGCGACCAGTCTTTGCATTCCTCTGCCCGTTCCTCGCTTGCAAACACAAACTAAGGAGATTGCCACCGCAACAGCGCCAGTGGTTCGGCAGCTCTTTCCGCCAAGGATGTGGCCCCATCAGCCATTCCAGACAGCGCTTAACTCCTTTCCCCGTCTCTCTCTCTCTCTCTCCGACAGATGTCAATGAGTGTGCCGATCCCGTGAATTGCATCAACGGCCTTTGCGTTAATACGCCAGGCAGCTACCTCTGCAACTGTCCTCAGGACTTCGAGCTGAACCCCACCGGAGTGGGGTGTGTCGGTAAGGAGGACCCCCCCACAGGGTGTGCACAGGCAGATCCACCATGCAGTGCTGTCCATGACATTATTGTATTCCATAAACTTATATGCCACCCATTGTTCTGACCTAGGTTTCCCAAAATCATGAAGCTGGCTCCTCATCCCGATAAAACGCTTTTTATTTAGGCTAAAGGGAATTCCTCTCCAGCAAAGTCCCGGCAAACGGTCTTTCATGAGATTTCACAACGACAGACCTTTATCAGGCTTGGAGAGTTGCCAGGCCAATATCTTCCAAATGCCACGCTGTAGCAGCAATTACTTGGCAAGAAGTCAGGAACAGATCTTCACACTAATTAAACGAACCAATTGTCTCCTGCAAACACCATTCCCCTTTCACTCCTCTTTATTCTTTATTCTTTATTCACTCCTCTTTATTTATGGGAGGGTCCATTCACTGCCCACCTGAGCCTTTACTCCCGAGTCATCCCTTGTTCCTTAACTGTTCCTTTTGTCTGGCAGCTCTGTGCATGCGCACACTGGGAACAGGCTCCAGCTGTTCTTCGGCCCCACTGATCTCCGATTCCGAAGGCAGCTGATAACTGTCAGACAGCCCTGGCCCCATCTCTGCCTCCAACGCAGAGCCCTCATCAGAGCCTTCCCCAGACTCCAGGACTGGCCCTTGTTCCACCCCAATCTCCTCACTGTCCAAGTCTGCCACAACACCCATCTCCCTGTGCAAAGCAACTTGCAGTGGCTTCCAATTCTTCCTCTTCTTGTGCCCTATCCGTCATCGGACATTGGTGATCGTGTCGGCGATCCTATTTTAATCAACAGCTGCACAAGAAAGAGCTGCTGAGTTTTGTCCAAACCAGACAAAAATTAGCTTTTGAAGCCATGATATTCTTCTTCTGCTTGGAGTTCGTTTGCCTTCAATCTTTCCCTGGAGGATGAAGTGAAGGGTGCTGTATTTTTCCAGGTGTCACATCCCGTTTCCGAAATATTCTAACTTTTCTCTTTTTAATGGTTTTGATGATTTCTCCTGGCTTTCCCAAGTGGTTTATCACCTCCTCGTTTCTGAACTGATCTCTCTACACGTCATCCTTAGTGAAGCGTGCAAACCAGCCTCTGCATTTCCTTCGTTGGATGAGGAGAGCACCTCTTTCTCCTCCTGTCCTGGCCACTTTTTACCGAGGCACGATTGAGTGCATTTTAACAAACTGCATCCCTCTTTGGTTTGGTGGCCGCAGCGCCTCAGATAGAAAGTTCCTACAGAGAGTGGTGAGGGCAGCGGAGAAGATCATACGAAGCTCGCTTCCTGTTATTCAGGATGCTCCTTATAAGCACTCTGGGCTTGGAGCTCAAAACATTGTTAGAGACCCCACCTCACGGTCTGTTTCTGTTGCTACTCTCTGGAAGGGCATTTTGAAGAATTTCTAGCAGGACTTACCAAATTCTTTAATGGCTTTGTTCCCTATGCCATCCCTCTGGTACATGGATACATCGGAACTAGACTGTCATGTTTCTCTGTGTCATATAATATATGTGGGTATTTTTGTATTGAGTGGCGTGATGGCCTAGAGATGGAGCTCTCCCCACACAATCAGGAGGCTGTTAGTTCAATCCCAGATAGAAGCAGATATTTCTCTCCCTGGGCACACTGAGAATATATCTGCCGGCCAAAACTCTGCATCGGCAACAGGAAAGGCATCCGGCCATTAAAACACCCTGCTAGCTCCATTCATTTGCTCAGACTCCACCCTGCAAGGGGTCATTAAATGAAGTTGATGATATACATAATTTTGTATTTATTTATTCCGTCATGTTTACGTGGGGTGACTCTTTGAGAGCTGCATTGCAACAAAACTTCATTTTAATGTATGTCAATTAGCATACATTCCAAGTGACAATAAAGTTATTCTACGAGTAAGTCATCATCTTCCTCCTCTTGCAGTTTTCCTTCACTTTCCTTCTGTCTCCCTCCCTCCCTCCTTCCCCAGACACCCGAGTGGGGAACTGTTTCCTGGACACGCAAGACCGCGGCGACGGCGGGATCTCATGCAGTGCTGAAATCGGCGTGGGCGTTACGCGGGCGTCCTGCTGCTGCTCCCTGGGCCGGGCTTGGGGAAACCCCTGCGAGCTGTGCCCGGCTGCCAACACCAGTGAGTAGAGCAGCCGCCGTGCCAGGGCTGAATCCCTGGAACGATTGGTTTGCGTGGCTGATTTCCTGCGGGATGTTTGCCCCTCAAATACTGGAAAGATTGCAAGGTGTGATCTTCTTCCTGAAGAAATTTCAAAGCAAAGTGCGATCGCATCCTTGACACCCTAGATTTGCTGACACCCCCCCTGAACTCTTCTCCACGGCCAGGGAACTTGTGGGCAAATCCGAAAAGGAGAATGGTTTAGTCCAGGGGTCCTCAGGGACCACCAAACTCATAATTTTAAATCCCGCGGACCACTAACATGAATTTTGACTAACGGCAGCTCGCTGACATTGGTGGGAAAGTCGGTCCCATGTTCCAGAGCTGTAATAATCACAGGACTGGCCCTTTGGTCATCCCAGAGCAGCTGCTCCTCCACCCGGGTGCACCGGCCTGCCGTGGACTGGAACAGCTGCTCCAGGATGGTCAAAGGGCCAGTCCTGTGACTCCTACAGCTCTAGAATATGGGACCGACTTTCCCACCAACGTCAGCAAGCCACCCCGGGGCGGATTTCCTTCCCGGCCATCGGTCTTATCTTCCAGTTCCAGCTTGCATGGCTTTACTCAGGGTAAGATTTGTGCTCTTGGCCACAGGGTGGGGGCCAGTGGGTGGGCGGGCCATGTGGGTGGCATAGCCTTGTGTTTCCGTGCAGCCTGGATTAATTGCTTTGGGGGGAGTGCTTTGGGGGGGGG